TAAGTTTATACTTTTGTCTATGACACAAAAAAAAAAGTAAATAAAAACCCACATCACCGCCTAGTGTAAAGCCCGCCAACCCTTCTGTATTTGACATTAGGTACTCGCGCAAACGCAATACACTTCTATGAATGTAAACGATCTCATTGGCCGCTAGTCGACCAATCGCTGCGAGGCCATAACGCACGCCCGGCTAAATTGTTAAACTGTGGTTAGGCACTCACTATGAATGTAAATAGAATATGCCTTATACATAGTATATGGCCACTTCAGTAATACCAGAGCACAGCACAGTGTTATATGATTATACCGTTACGATACAATCGTATTGCATCGTTTTTAAGCTTCTGTGTACGTCCACAATATTGTAGCGAAAAGTTAACAGCATCTCTTTACTGTTAGGTAATATATTTTATTCTCCTATTACATATATAAGTCCGCCAAATATACATGTTGTTATCACAAACCACATTGTGCGTAAAATTTTTAATAAATAAATATATATATTGTAACGATAAAATCGTACTACAGAAAAAGAGATGTTAAAACAAAAGATATATATCTACAATAGCAGAAAAAACGTTTATGTGTGTATGGGTGTGTGTGTGTGAGGGTATGTATGTAAAAATCATCGTTTTAATGGTTATTTTTATTACTTAATGTTTCGAATAAATATATGTATAGTGATCAACAAGTAAGTACCTAATAGAGGAACTAAAATCTGTGAGAATTTCCTTCAATAAAAAAATGACAGTCATGCAAAAACTGCAAAGGGATTTTTATAGTACAACATTAATGATGTTTAAATGACAAGCATTAATCATAATGATAACTTATCAAAGTTACAATGAGGAGTTCGCGATGCGTATGACTTGACGGAACTGTCAAGTTTGACAGTTCGCGGCGAAATTAAGAAGTTGGCCTGACTGACAAGCTGTCAGAATTTGACAGAACCGCTATTATGTTCACACTTTACGTGTTAATAACACACATGCGTAGGATGTACACGGTGGTGATTAAAAGAGGATTTTTAATAGTCAGAATTTAGTTTTTTGAGGGTAGATAATTCGTGTATAAAAAATTTATAATAGTCAGTTTCGATATCTTTGTCTTAGAATTGTTAAAATAAAAATAAAAAATGTTGTGGTGGTAAAAAATGGATAAAAATTGATGGGAAAATGTTTCATATTCACCAGATATGTTACCAGAGAGAGACTTTGTACAAAAGTAGTTTGCTTGGACACCTCTGTCCCATTCGTGTTTCTACCGTGAAGCAGTTGTGTTCGCATGGCTGTTTAAGTTTTAAGGGTGAGATATGGCAGTGAATTTACAGGGTACAGAGTAATAACACCTTAGTCCTCAGGAATGGCAACACATGGAGAGTATCATGGGTGAAATAGTATACACTGGTATGTCCATGGTACTGCTCATGTCTATAGGCGACGGTTACTACTTTACATCAGTTGAGCTGTCAGCTTGTTTGCCATTCTAAGTTGTATAAAAAAAACCGACTTTTTATCCTCACCTATCATCTCTTACTGGTGTCCCACCAGTGTATACCGATAGCACAGGCGGGGTTACCATTCCATTATCAAGTATTAAAAAAACACTTCCCTAAGATTGATTGGGAGAGAATGCTTTTAGCATTAAGTCCGCCTTGTAGATGCATATGTGTAAACCACAATGGTTTTCGGGAGGAACCGCGTGAAAGTCGACTTAATAGACACACTACTAAATCGACTAGAAATGGGTCAGTTAAAGCCCATACTATACTAGTACTACTAATAATCATTTTATATAATTTAATTATATCAAATTGAAGTTTTAATTTTAGAGATAGGTTTAAAAAATGCCACCCCAAAATCGGTTCAATTATCTACTACCTACAATCTACCGACTTAATAATAATCATTAAAAAACAAAACGTCCCTATTCTGCCCTATTTCTTAACAAACAATATATTGGTCGGAAATGTCGATTTCTGCACTAAGTCAGGGGTCTGTCAAACTTAGGGTTGCCACCCGAGCCTTTTAATGAAATATCGTGTTTCTATATAACGGAAATTTAATAAATTTCGATTCCCATTGTCCAATTAACGATATGAATGTTTTATAAATTTTATAAGTTTTAAAAATCGTTTTATATTATCTATATAAAATATTTGAAATATTATTATTTTATTATAAAAATAAGCAAAAACATTTCATTTCACTTAATTTGACTTTATTCTAATATAAGTTTTACATAATTGAATTAAAAAGTAGCCGGTCATAATTTAATGACATATTTAACACTGTCAATAAGTTTTTTTTTTATACAACTTAGAATGGCAAACAAGCTAACGGCCCACCTGATGGAAAGTGATAACCGTCGCCTACAGACATGAGCAGTACCATGGACATAACAGAGTATACTGTTTCTCCCACGATACCCCCCATGCGTTGCCATTCCTGAGGACTCAGGTGTTATTCCTCTGTACCCTGTAAATTCACGCCATATCCCACCATTCAAACGGAAACACAGCCATGCAAACACAACTGCTTCACGGTAGGAACACGAATGGGACAGAAGTACCCAAGCAATTGACTTTTGTACAAAGTCTCCCTCTGGTATTAAATTACTTTATATTTCATTCTTCATTATACTAAAATACAATTTTTTTCTTATTTTAGTCATAGAACATAACATATTACGCCGACCACGTATAATAATTGGGATAAGGGTAGGAAGAAGTCATAGGTTAAGAGGAATGTTATTTCAGAAACAACTCGAATGTACGAGTATTTAAATAATAAAATTAAATTACTTTTTTTCTCAAACAAAACGGTTCAACCCTATTTCAACTTTACAGCATTAAATGGCCACTACAATAAGTTCTTAAAACGTCAATTGTATAAGGCACAAATTCGTTTGGCAAATGTGCACTCGAACGCAGATGTAATTTGCTAGATCTGTTTACAGCTGGTCCACTTTGCATATCCTGACTGATTGTCCTGCCACTCCGGGAGCCGTTTGGTACCACCGCACCTCTTCGTACAATTCGATTTTACAAATATCGTATGCGAAATTGGTTAATAGTATTACAGCGGGGGGAAAGGGATTGTTAGTAATGGAGACTAAGAATCCAATTGCTAGCAATATACCCAACCAGGTCGACCTCCTCGCGGTTCCCCCTGGAAACTATCATGGTTAATTCGTGATGAATCCATCATCATGATGTTTTCATTCTCATCTATCACCCTTCTCCGGTGCTCCGCCAGCGTATTCCGTTAGCGCAGGCGGGGTTACCATTCCATTTTTACCCATCAAAAAAATAGTATTACAGCAACGATCACTGGAGTAAATATATGTAAATACTAGTCGCTTCCTGCGGCGTTACCCGCTTCTAATTATATAGTTCCCGTATATCATATCCATTGCAACTCTTCATCCGTTCTAATACCTTCATAAAGTTTCAGCCAATTCAACTTCATATAACTTTTTTTATTTATGAACCTATTGAAATAAAACAAATACTAAATGTGAAGTGGAGCAAACTGCAACGCATTAGTGAAAACAACGTTCAGTAAATCCGTTTCTGAGATTAGCGCGTACAAACATACAGACAAACAGACAAAAATTGTAAAAATTATTGTTTTGGATTCTATTCATAAAATCCCCCTATAATAGTTTTTTTTTTTCTTTTATACGTATCTTCCATGTACAGACAGCGACCGATTACGATTTTTTATATGTATTGATTTTACTGAACTAGGTGTTAACTTGCAGAAGTCCATATCACTGGTTATTTTATTAGAATTATTTTGTTTAATTCCGCTACCATTAGTATGTGTGTGACTGCCAACACTTGAAGATTGGCCATCACTATTACTATCAGAATCTTCTATATTAACCATCAATCTTTAACTGCCATGCTCCAACTGTGTGTTTTACTTCTAAACGAGACATCTTCAAGCAATTTATTTAATTAATACAAGGAGCCTGGGGGGAAAAGCATTGTTAGCAATGGAGTTTGACAGCCCCATTGCTAGCAATATAACTTATTAGGTCGACCTCCACGTGGTTCTCCTTGGAAACCATCGTGAATAATTCTTGTTGAATTCATCACGATGGGCTAACTGACCTGCTTCATCCTCACCTATCATTCTTCACTGGTGCCCCGCCGGTGTATACCGATAGCGCGGATATGGTTACCATTCCATTATCATCCATTAACAAAAAAATACAAGGAGCCTAGCGTTAACCGTTCGGCACCTAAACTGCAAATTTTGTAGTGATGGCCAATCTTCAAGTGTTGGCAGTCACAAACATACTAACGGTAGCGGAATTAAACAAAATAATTCTAATTAAATAACCAGTAGATATGTGTAGAAGAACTTAGATGTAAAACTACAGGATACAGAAGCTTGTGTTTTCAATGAATAGAACGGATGGTTAATGGATGGAAGATAGAACAGTAGTCATTCTGGATCCTGGGGTTGAAATATTTAATAATGGAGTCATAATATAATAAAATTATTACTAATTATTATTACTTTAATTAAATATTAATAATGACTATTTTTAAAATACAAAAATAAATAAACAAAAAAAATTTTAAAAATATTTGTTAATTTGTTCTTACAAGAATTTTATATTTTTTTATATATATGTTGTAAAATTAGAATTTAATAAAGAAAATGTTTATTTTGTAATATTTGTTATATTACTTTTAAAGAAATCTCCATCTACAATTTTAGACAAGAAAAATGTTTTTAATTGGTCCAAACTTTTACTTGTTAAACTTGTAAAAATAATTATCGTTAAAATAAAATAGAAATAAATTATAAAAATAATAAAAATAAATTGTAATATATATTATATCACATATATATCATATCGCATAAGCGAAGGCATACTTACAAAAATGAATATCACAAGAGTGTAAAATAAAATACTTATTTAAATTCAAACATAATTAATTTATTTACAAAAAAAAACTTTTCAATATACACAAACAATTCTACTATCTAATAGCACTTACTAACAATAATACTGGCGCGAGTCCTTAACTAGCACATAACACAACTTGAAAATAATACTTACACAGGCAAGACGTGAAACTTACGCTAAATTTATTCGGCAGGACGGATTATACTGTTCAAAGAATGTTAAAATTAAGAATTTAATACAATCAATATATATATAAACGTAAAATCTTACTGTAACACTACACTGTAACACGAGACGTAGAACAAGTTAATATCATTTATCAAATCTCTCAAAGACAAGATTAACACTACTTGGTAACACTATGATTATTTCACGGTACTATAATAAATATCCCTGTATTTATAATTCCTAGTCGCTGTGCTGGCTACGATCTATGGTATAGTTATACAAAATTCACTAACAATACTTTAATGGAAAATCTCATGAAATTTGTAATGGCAACTCTAGATAATTTGGCAAATACTTTTTTCATACACATACATACAATAAATCTAAACTTTGACACTATTAACGTGATTCACATACCTAATTCTACTGCAGGAGTTCGTACAGAGCAGCTATGTATGTCTGAGCCATTTGGAGGGTTTCGTATTTGGACAATTGACGATCGGCGCCCAAAGACGGCAGGTGTCCGCGTAGTCTATCAAACGCCTTGTTCAAATTCTGCATTCTCCTTCTCTCACGAGCGTTGGCCGCTAACCGTCGTCTCCTCAACACGGCGGCACTAGTCGCCCGTCCCCTCCTCTTGCCCGAGCCTTCTAATTCCGCGTCTTCAGCACTGTCCTCGAGTATGATATCTTCCGACAATCCTCTGTACGCGATGTGAGTGGAATCTTGGTTGATGCTGCCGTCGATCGAGGGTGTGGGCTCCAAACTGGATCTCCCCGAGTCAGGGGACCTCGGCCAGGATAAATAACAGTCTTCGGTCGCGTACTCCATAATTACGTCAGTCGCAAACATGTCTTTTTCAGTATACAACATACGGTGTCCATACGTTTCAGCCGTCATTGTGTACGCGTAAAAAAAATACAGAGAGCGGTACAGGTGTGCTCAGTCCAGTGTCCCGTAGCGGTCTAATTTTTGCGCCTACCTGTTCTCTTTATATAGGGTCCCGTTTTGCGAGAGAGGATAGAACGAATCGCGTTCTATGTGCTAGAGAGAGATGAAAAAAGGCTCCGAGAGGGTAATTTAAGGCCAATCATCATTAATTATTTCCTCCCCCTGGTGCGTGTTGATATCGCATTGTCCGATAGAATATTTGACTCCGTTGGAACGTATTCCGTTTTATGCGTACGTTCGAATAACAATTGGATTTTTATATTGCTGTTAACCTCGCGGACCCCGCAGTGTTACAAATGACAATGTAAATTATAGTTATAGGATTCTAATTTATTTTATTCTATATTAATCGCAACTAGGCAAATCGAGTATTTTTTTTTCATACAACTTAGAATGGCAAACAAGCTGACGGCCCACCTGATGGAAAGTGACAACCGTCGCCAATAGACATGAGCAGTACCATGGACAAAACAGAGTATACTGCTTCGCCCGTGATACCCCCGATGCGTTGCCATTCCTGAGGACTCAGGTGTTATTCCTCTGTACCCAGTAAATTCACGCCATATCCCACCCTTCAAACTGAAACACAGCCATGCAAACACAAATGCTTCACGGTAGAAACACGAATGGAACAGAGGTACCCAAACAATCGAGTTTTGTACAAAGTCTCCCTCTGGTAAATCAGATAAATAGAGTATTCATGAACTCAAATCTTTGTCTATTTATTTTTAATAATAATAATACTTTATTATTCAGACTACAATTTAGTCCATTTTGCTAGTAACAATTTCCATACAAACTTTGTTAGTAAAAAGAAAAGCAATTAAAGTGAACATTTAATTAAAGCTATTCACTCAATGTGAGCCAGCCGACTAGAACAGCATCTGAATGAAATGTCCAATTATAGGCGAGTTATATTTCTCGCCTATTACTTTCAGAAGGCTGTTGGTGCTTGTCCAAACTCTGTGTAGCAGGGGGGAAATGGATTGTTAGTAATGGAGACTTACAATCCCATTGCTAGTACCCAACCAGGTCGACCTCCTCGCAGTTCTCCCTGGAAACTATCATGGTTAATTCCTGATGAATTCATCATGATGGGCTAACTGACCTGTTTTCATTCTCATCGATCACCCTTCACTGGTGCTCCGCCAGCGTATACCGTTAGCACAAGTGGGGTTACCATACCATTTTCACCCATCAAAAAAAACCCTGTGCAGCAATGATGCAGTTCTCTTTCTACAGAGGGGCTTCATTAACGCAATAACACCCAAAACAATGATTTTTGGAATTTTTGCCTGTTTGTCTGTATATTTGTGCATGCTAATCTCAGAAACAGCTTCACCAATTTGAATAAAAAAAGTTATATCAATCTAAAGAATCACATATAAAATGCTATAAAATAGCCGATCAGTTGAATTGGCTGAAACTTTATGAACGTATTAGGTACGTAATTATCATTTAAGTATATAATACAATATAAGACCGGACTCGTGAAGAGTTATAAGGGGAATGATATACGAGAACTACATAGAAGCGGGCAACGCCGCGGGAAACGGCCAGTATATTTAATAAGATTTTAGTACTTTCATTCATAAATTTTAAAAGTTACATTGTTCATCTCATAGACACCTCGCCTGTACATCCTTCAACGTATCTCCGTTGTAATTTTTTCGAACCAGTCTCAATACGACACCGGCCGGGTCGGGACTCGAACCCGAGCGATATAGTTTTCACTGTACCAAGGTGGGTGAAACTCAACACGCGTGGATGTAGGTGGCCCAGATTTTGCATGGAGCTGCTAATTAATTCGGATATGGCATATCGTATAATTAAAATAACATATTAGCATTAGTACTTAGTAATTACCAGTTACCAGTAGTTACCAGAGGGAGACTTTGTACAAGAGTCGTTTGCTTAGGCACCTCTGTCCTATTCGTGTTTCAACCGTGAAGCAGTTGTGTTTGCATGGCTGTATTTCGGTTTGAAGGGTGGTATATGACAGTGAATTTACAGGGTACAGAGGAATAACACCTAGGTCCTCAGGAATGTCAACGCATGGAGGGGTATCATGGGCGAAACAGTATACTCTGTTATGTCCACGGTACTGCTCATGTATATAGGCGACGGTTACCACTTTTCATCAACAAAGTGAATAATTAATTAAAACAAGATAAAGAGGCAACGAGATCTTTACCGTATCCGATTTTGATGTTTCCTTGCTTAACGTCAGAGACTCGTAGCGCCGGTGGTCCAATCATTTTTCACAACCCTTGCGTAAATTTTGTCTCAAAATTTTCATTTTAATTAACATTCACACTTAATACATACGCTTAATAACTACAGAGTTTCGTGTTGGCTAGTACCTTTGCTGCTCTTGAGGATCAGGTTCGATTCTAGACTTAAACAGTAATAATAAATGCTATTGTTGGCGAAAGACCTCCTTTCATATAAGTTTAATTTTATTAGATTTATATTTTTATATCATGGATATATCTTTTTAATACTTATTTTGTTTTTCTACTTGACTGACATATTATTGTATGTACATTGTGTACGTCTCAAGGAATTAAACTGGTAAGCCTCTCTCTATATATTACTTTATTATTGTCGCTGCCCTCCTCTCCTACCAGCGCCGTTTTTAGCTACATAGTCATAAGAATTGTCTGACGCTCGAGCTAGAATGATGGTTTGAAAAATAAACATCCGAAAGTACAACTAAAATGGCCAAGTCAGTTCTCTTTAAAGTCCATTTCCTAAATTATCTCGACCGAGAATCGAACCCTGGACCTCAATTACTTAAAACTATGGTACACATGTAATGCACCATAAGTTCTTGGTTATTGTTGGTGCTACATAAAAAAATCGACTTCAAATATGGTAAAATCAGTTATTTTAATAAAAAAAAAAGCTAAAATACTGAACTGAAGGCCACCCCTTCCTTTCCCGTGGGTGGGTAGAGGCGACTAAGAGAGCTTATAAGCTATAGTGAAGGGATGGATAGCAGGGTCCCTCTTAAAACAACACGAAAAATCAAACTGCGATTGCCAACCCGCCAGAGGGAGACTTTGCACAAAAGTAGTTTGCTTGGGTACCTCAGTCCCATTCGTGTTTTAACCGTAGAGCAGTTGTTTGCATGGCTATGTTTCGACTTCAAAGATGGGATATGGCGTGAATTTAAAGGTACAGAGGAATAACACCTGAATGTCAACGCATGGGAGGTATCATGGCCAAAACTGTACACTCTGTTATGTCCACAGTACTGCTCATGTCTATAGGCGACGGTTACCACTTTTCACCAGGTGGACCGTCAGCTTGTTTGCCATTTTAAGTTGCATAAAAAAAAGAATACGACCAACTGAAAAGAAAATTATTTACTATCAATAGTAGATTGCACTATGTCGGTTTACTAAATGCTTTTTCACTCTACGTTTGAAGAATCTAAGGTTATAGTATGAAGGAAACAAGTCACGGGAAAGGCTACGGTACGGTTGACGTAAGAGTTGATAAACTTATTTGTACGCGAACACAGGCGATCTACCGTGTATATGCTGCAGTCAAAACTCTTAACCAGTCAAAAGTACTATTGACTAGCAAAATCAGTCAAAAGTACTTTTGACCGTATGCTTTAGTCAATAATACTTTTGACTAAAGTAACAGTTAAACGTACCTAACCTAACCTAATAGGGGGAAAGGGATTGTTAGTAATGGAGACTAAAAAGTCCATTGCTAGCAATATACCTAACCAGATCAACCTCCACGCGGTTCCTCCTGGAAACTATCATGATAAATTCTTCCTAATGAATTCATCATGATGGTCTAACTGGCCTGTTTTCATTCTCATCTACCACCCTTCACTGGTGCTCCGCCAGCGTACCCCGTTGGCGCGGGCGGGGTTACCATACCATTTTCATCCATTGAGTAACCTGTAACTAGAGCTGGTTCTGTTGTCTCAACAAATAATTAAAGTCTTCTTTTAAAAATATGCTTATTGGGTGCTCTGCGCAGGTATACAGGGATTTTATTCCAGGTATCTCTCAGTAATTATTCCGTTAAAGAGGCATTCGCTAATTAACTAATAGAAAAATATTATGAAGATAAGAAATCAATCGAATGCAGAAATTAATTTTTTGGTGTCAATTTAAAACGATATTTTCATAGTAAAAATATTTATTTATTTATTCATTGAAAATAATTACAACATTATAACAGCAAAAGCCAAATCAATGTTATAAACCTAGTGTGCCAACATACAAAGTTATAATAAATGTATTTAACCCGACTCCAGATATGTCTGAGCCGCTTCTAATATCTCTGGCAGGCTGCTACTAAATATATCAATGATGTTTATAATATTATTTAATATGGACTGTTTATATCAGTGTTTTTCAACGTGTGGATAACTTACATATACTTAATAATATATATACACATACATATAAAAATACAAAAATACTCAGCTAAACCTTAAATAGCAAATTAAAATAGCAAAAAAGTTGTTGTATAAAAACTAACGACAGAACACAAAGTTTTAAAGATAAAAAAAAATCTACTTATTAATTTACATTCGAAGGCAAACCCTTTAATCATCAGAGAATACTATGTCTAAATGTTGAGACATACGCGTCCAGCGAGTGAGGGTTGTCAGCAACATTGTTTTTTAAACATTTTCACGCGCCATTAACCCGCGCTCGGCTCCGGTTTCGCGAACCAAAAAAATGTTACCACGAGATCTATGCGACCAGTATGATACATAATAATAAAGATGTATTTTTTTAATAGGTCGGAATAGAATGGCAACCCCGCCTGCGCTATCCAAATACGCTGGCAGAGTACCAGTCCAGAGATGACGGGTGAGCCAGTTGGCCCATGACGAATTCAATGAGAATAAACCAAGATGATTTTCAGAGGATACCACGTGGAGGTCGACCTGATATTGCTAATTATGGAGTTGTTAGACTGGTGATAGATTCCAAGAACTGGTGACCTGTAGCACAGGTCTTT